TTCACAGAGGAAAACTGATCCATGTAAGAAATTACGATCCTTGACTTTGCTTCAACACTGCAGGTTGTCCTGCTATAAAAAGGCAAGGATTGACAAGACCTGGCAAAGAAGTCTTTGCTAGCTTCTAGCACCAAAGACATCCAGCTTGACAGGAAGCAGAATGGGAGCGAAGCAGGTTTGAATGCCTTTAAGAAACAAATCCAAGGAGAAAAAGGCAAATAAGAGGAGGAGGTACAGCCCACAAGCACAAGACATTGCTTCTAAAGCCCAGAAGGAAAGATGAGAGCAAAATTTTAGCTGCAGATATTCTTGTTCATCTATCCACACAGGTGGTATCTTGCTTCATCAACTTATTTAGGAGAAAAGCCCAATAGTTTATAGCACAAATTCTTTACATCATGTTTGAAAAGCAGTGGGTTATTTTGTTACCAATCTGTTCAGAGACGCCTGTGATAGTGCGGGCTGCTAGCCAAAGTTCAAGCAGCGCTACCTTGAGTTCCACAATTTTCCCAATGCATTGGTCAACACCACTGAACTGTTAAAAAACAGCTTTTTTCACAAATGCAATGGTTGCTTCATTAATAGCAACGTTCTAGCCCAGAAATGGCTGCACCAGTGGCTGATGAAGCAGTTATATGTGCATACCTTATAATCTCAAAGCGCTTCTAGATTTGTAAAAAGGTGCTGAAACACAAAATAAATAAATAAATAGACATGCAGTGTTTACGATCCTGGGAGGGGATAAAGCCCTCTCTCTGGACTACGCAGACATTAGCAACACTGAATTACCCGTTTCAGACAAAAGTGGCCCAACCCAGCCAGGATTTACCGAATTAGCCAGGCAAGTATGAGATTTTTGAACCCCATGGAAATGCTTGAAGTACAAAGCTAAGAGTAACCACGGACGCGCAATAACTCTGATGTGTGATCACAGTGGAGTTCCTTCGTTGGCACCCAGCTGCCAGGGCTGCCTGCATGCTTTGAGGAACTAGGTGATAAACAGCAAACGAGCATAACCATCTGCTGTCCACACATTCTTCCTAAGGGTTTGTGGTCTCATTCATTAGTCCAGCTATTTGGATTCAGAGCCTTGCTCTCTGAGTCCATCCTATTGATCTTACCCCAAACGAGAACCAGTCATGATTGTGGCTCCCAGTTGCCTTTATAAGAAAAACTAGAATTGTTCCAGCCTCAGACAGCAGTGCAGCAGAGAGGTTCCAAATAAGCTTTCTTGTGATAGCAAATTTGAAAAACTAGGAAAATGCCAATAAAATTGTTTCACCTTCGCAGCAGAACTAACTTCTGCTAACAAGGTCTCTTTCTCCAAGAATTCATTAAAGGATAGCGTTAGTTTGAATTCAAGTTTAACTACAGGAAACTTAGTAGAGGACAGAGGGCTTGTTACAAAGACAGGAAGAGTAGAGAACAACAGCTTCCTCACATCAAACAGCCCAAAAATACTCGGAGCCAGAAACGCTGCACCGCTCACTTAGGCCTGGGGACAAACTCAGAGAAGAACTGTGGCACAAGGCGGCACAGACACCGCACAGCCAACCACCACCTCACGCAGAGCAGTCGCCTGCGCCGTCAGGAACGGGGACGGACAGCTAACCCTTCACAGCTGAAATGTAAATGTCAGCAACAATTAGTCACTTATTTACCGAAGCATCAGGCCATGTGTGAGTTTTCCCAGTTCATCTTCCACTGTGCCGTAGTAACTGAATCAGCCTCCTCCCCAGAGGTTTGTCACGCACAGATGATTTGGTCTGACCGTGCCTTGCACACACCGGTGTAACGTACAAGGCAGCAACACCCAGTCACAGGCTCCCTCCACGTTTTCCAGTTCCAGTGCCACCTGGATTATTAGCTGTCACAGCAGTGGGTATGAAGGCACTTCTGAATAAAAAGGTTTTAAAAGCTCATTTGCCTGAGCTGTTTGTAATCTATGAACTGGGCACTGAATCCTAGACCTCAGTGGAGGATTTTACTAAGCAATTGCACGTGGAAGTTTACAGTACAGATTTTACAGTGAATGCTAAGGCTGTGACATTTGCCTGGCCAGCAGGAAGCCGTGCCTCACTGAGGAACTAGAGGCTTTGCACACCCAGGTGCCACCAGTTACTGATTCCTTACACAGGAATCCTGTGATCCTCCCAGATCCATATCTGGATCTAGGGCCACAGCATGGAACATAGGTCCTCCAAGTAATTGTTAGGGTCTTCTCCCACAATGTTTGCTCAGAAGCAGACAAAGCAGTGTGGTCAGGCACTGCCTCATTCCACCCTATGTACACCCACAGACCTAGATGCTTAAGGTCAAAAGTTGGTGGAGGAGAAGGAAGGAGCAGCTCGGTGAGGCAAGTGCTGTGTATGAAGAACGGACTCATGTCTCATTGTGGACCTTCCTCTTACAACCCTGTTTTCCTCTGTGCAAAACCTATCTCCATAAATACAAACTATAAAAAAGTGAGTACAAGGAGGCGCAGAAAGTCCCTATGCAGGCAGATAATGCCTACACAAAATAAGTGTTTTTGTAAACAAGTGTGAACATCCATAGGCCAACGTAAGTATTAAGATTAGTTAGAAGAAAGGATGCAGCCAGAAACTGACGTATAATGCTAATCAACTTCTGGCTTCGTGGCTGGTGCCATCATGAGGGTTTCGTCTTTTATGACAATGGGAGATTCTTCAATGACTACAGCCTGCTAAGTAGGGATGGGATCCACCTGCCTAGAAGGAATAGGACTGGACAGCTTGGTGAGATGGGCTTTAAACTAAAGGACTCAGGGGAGCGGGATCCAAAGTGGCAACGCTCACACCATTGCAAGCAACTGAGGAAGAAGCCAGACCAACCAGAGCAGCAACAAATGGGTCACTTAAGCAAGATTCAGATCAAAAGAACCTGGTTCTTATGGGTAACTTCAACTACACAGACATTTGTTTGAAGAAAGATACAGCAGCCCTCATGTCATCCATCAAGTTCCTGGAACATGTAGAGGACTGCTTCTTCATACAAGTGTTTGATGTGCCAACCAGGAATGAGGCTGGACTTGCTACTCACAAACCAAGAAAACCTGCTTTTTAATATCTGGGTTAGCGATAGCCTTGGCAGCCATCACAATATTGCAGAGTTTGGGATCCTGCTGAGCATGCTGAAGGTTAGTAAAAAGAAACAGATTTACGTTTTAGAAGAGCAAACTTCGGCTTGCTCAGAGCTCATCTGGCAAGGATTCTGTGGGAAGCTTCCATGGAGGATAAAGAAGACAGTGAGCGCTAGGAGTTTTTCAATAACCCTCTCCTGGGAGCACAAAAAGAGTCCCTCCCCTTTGGAGGTAAGGGAAGTAGGTGGAGCAAGAGACCCCCTTGGCTAGTTACACAGTTAACTCACAGTTAACTAGTTACTCAGTTAACTCACAGTTAACTGTGAGCTTCTCAAAACCAAAAGAGAAGCATACCAGAGATGGAAAAGCAGACCAGTACCTGTGGAGAACTACAATGGCATTGTGAGGACCTGCAGAGATGCAGCTGGAAAAGCAAAAGCTCATCTTGAATTGGAATAGGCCAGAGATGTCAAAAACTCCAGAAACAGAAGGAAAGTACTGGCCCGCTGTTGATGGGAGAGTCACCAACAATGCTGAAACAGCATAGGTTCTCAACACTTTCGTCACCTCCGTCTTTACCAGCACTGTTGGGCCCCAGGCCTTGGAAACAACAATCCAGGTTGATGCAAACACAGACTCACCACCAGCTGCTGCGTGAACTATTACAGGAGATTGACCTCTACAAATTGATGGGCCCTGACAATACCCACCTAAGTGTGTTAAGAGAACTGGCTGATGTTGTTGTGAGGCCGCTCTCCATAATCTTTGAGAAGCGATGGAGATCTGGGGACATCACAGAAGACTGAAAAAAGGCTAATGTCACCCCCATCTACAAGAAGGGCTTAAAGGAGGGTCCTTTAAACTATAGGCCCATCAGTGTCACTTCAGTCCATGGGAAAGTTACAGATCCAATCCTCCTGGGGGCTATCACAAGTCAAGTAAAGCAGGCGATCGGGAAAAGTCAGCACAACTAATCAAGGGCAAATCATGCTTGACAAACCTGATCACCTTCTATGGCAAAGTAACCTGCTTGGTTGATGCAGGGGACATTGTCTACCTGGATTTCTCCAAGGCTTTCCATTTGGTTCCCCACAGCCTCCTCCTAAAGAAATTGATGCCTTATGGTATAGACCAAGTGGTCTGTGCAGTGGGCGGGGAGCTGGCTGACAGGCAGCACCCATGGGGTGGTGGTAAATGGCTGCTTTTCAGACCAGCAACCTGTCACAAGTGGGGTTTCCCAAGGATCGATATTGGGCCCAATACTGTTTAATACCTTCATAAGTGATCTGGATGATGCAATGAAGGGTACCCTGATGAAGTTTGCTGATGACACCAAACTGAGTGGGGAAGTAGACTCCTTGGAAGGGCGAGCCACCCTGCAGGAAGACCTGGATAGGGTGGAAGAGTGGGTGAACAAGAACCTTATGAAGTCAAAGACACGTGTAAGGTATGGCACTTGGGAAAACATAATCCAGGACTGCAGCACAGGCTGGGATCTACCCAGCTGGGGAGCAGCTCTGTGGCAAGGGACCTGGAGATTCTGGTGGACAACAAGCTCAATATGAGTGAACAGTGTGCTGCTGCGGCTAAGAAAGCCAACAGGATGATGGGTTGCCTCAACAAGGGAGTCACCATCAGAGATAAAGAAGTCATTATCCCACTCTTCTCAGCCATTCTCAGGCCACACCTGGACCACTGTGTTCAGTTTTGGTCCGGGCTATGCAAAAAAAGATGTGGACAGGCAGGAGAGGGTCCAAAGAAGGGCCACAGAGATGATCAAAGGACTGGGAAGCCCGCCACATGAGGAAAGGCTGAGAGAAATGGCTTTGCTCAGATTTGAGAAAAGAAGGCTTAGGAGAGACCTTATCACCATGTTCCAGTATTTAAAGGGAAGCTACAAAGAAGATGGAGACTCCTGTTTTACAAGGAGTCACATGGGAAAGATGAGGGGTAATGGGTACAAGTTACTCCTGGGGACATTCCAATTGGACACAAAAGGAAAATTTTCCACAAAGAAAACAATCAGCTGTTGGAATAATTTCCCCAGGGAATTGGTGGATTCCTCAACATTGGACGCTGGGTGCTGGGCCATCTTGTCTAGGTGATTTTAGCCAAGAAAGGTTTGACCAGATCCTCCTTGAGGTTCCTTCCTCAAGGTATTCTGTGATCATCCACACTTGTGATTGGGATGCCTGCTATCAGAACCAGAGAACAGTTACCATTCCCCGCCTTATCACTTGACATAGTGCATGCCTTCTTCTTTAGAGCTTCTTGCCCAGATTTATGTTATAAAAAACATGCTTGGTTTCTCACAGTACGACACATACAGCACTAGAAAGCAACTCCTGTAAGCCTCTATACTTTAGGGAACAGCATTCACCAAGGCAGGAACAAGAGCCTGGACTATCTCAACTGCAGCTCACAGCTCTAGCTCTGGATTGAGATTGTTTGTTAGAATTGCTGCTATGAGTTAGGTGGGACAACTGTTAGTCATCATTGCACAGCCCATAAGCTCTTATCTTAGAGATGGGACAGATAAAGGCTTCTAGATTGCAAATGCATTAACAAAGGCCTTTCTCTGCTGTAGAAGGATCTGCATGGCTGGACTCCAAATGCAGTCAGAGACATACTGACAGGCCCCCATGGTAGCAGAACTTTTGGCAAGATCAGAACCTCCCAGCAGAAGCAAAAGGAAAGGAAAAAAAAAACCACTGCCTTCCACTCTGGAGCTATTTGTTGCTTTTCTAACTCAATGTCAAAGCTAAGCTCCAACTGCTTTCTTTCCCCTAGTTGCAAACAAGGAGAAGAGTAACAAGAAAGTCACCTCTGGACAGGCTCCTCTTTCCCTCAGATCTCTTTTGAGGCTCCTAATCACAGGGGTAGGTGGCAGAAGTATACAGGACTGCAGACCTGTAGATTTTGTTTGAGGTATGCGTGCATGGGGCTGGGAAGATTGCACCCCTAGCAAGCTCCAGGCAGGACAGAAGCCCTAGGATAATACAGCAACAAGCTAAAAACGGTAATGCACACAAGAGCAGAACTGAGATCTGTTACGTTAGGATTTCTCACCAGGTGTGCATTAGACATCGATTATTGCAACAGAACAAATAAGGCATGCAGATGCTTTGGCCATCTCACTGGCCTCTATGTTGTGCTTTTCTTTGCTTCGCAGAAAGCATTGGGTGAAGACTTAAGGCTCAGTCCTATTTAAAAAAAAAACTGCTAAATCGGCTGATTTTGTTAATATCCTGCATATGTCACATTGTATGTATGTATATATATAGAAAGAGACAGAAGACAGAACCTCTGGGACTAGAATAAGTTATAAATTCATCCCACTGGAATGTAGATAATTATAGTAGGTTCAACCTTATTCAGCACTTAGGGCATCTGAGCTGTTGTTCTACCACCAAATTATCTGCTTAAAGCAAATAAAAACGATGTGGTACGGTTTAATATTGTCAAGTCAGTCATTTGTACTAAGGCAGCTGCTGTTACATTTGCGTCTTCTGGTTTTGTATTTCTGACTGCTTATCCCACTGCTTGGAATAGGAGTTCTCCAACAGAAGTTTAGTCTCCATTAATGGACTGGTTGGCTAACTCCCTTCCCAACAGCAAAACATCAACAGAGGAGTATAAAAATATAGCAGTTAGAAAGAATACTTTCCAACCAACACACGGGCAGAAAAGGAAGATGACGCGCTATATATAGTCCTCTTCTGACCACCACTGCATTTAAAATATTATAAAATTAGTAATGGAAACATAACCGAAAAACCTGGGAGATCTTTAGACACAAGCTGAAACAGCAGGGCAGAAAAGTAAATGAGCACTCCACTTTTAAATTTAACAGCAACTGGCAGTGCTCCTCTCATATAGCATTTTCTCAACACCAAACATTTTGAATAAAGAATGTACCGTATCTTAAATCCCTGTGGCAGTACACACAACTTGCAGTTTAAGTAAGCTGGCAAAGCAGCGTTGGACAAAATTCAGAGTTTAAGAATTTGTATGTCGAACTCCCCTTCTGTTAACAACTGGACCAGATCTGAATTGCATAAAATATTCAGGTGCCTTTTAAAGTTATAATAGAATAAATACTCTAATATCATTGGTACATTCCTTTCTCAATCTAGGTACACAATAACTTAATATATTTAATATTTAGATAAACGATTTTTAGTAGATGCTTTGGCAGTCAAATTCTTACATATTCTCTATTTCTACAGAATATTTAGTTACGTTTTCAGAAAAAATTATCTGGATACTACTTAGAGGAATTATATGCTGTACAAAACAGCAGTCCAAATCATCACTGCAAACCGTAAAAGACACAGTTAATAAAAGAGTATAAAAAGGAATGCATATTTGCTAGAAGATACCAAACATTCAAAGGAAGAAGATACATCTGCACCATGAGTTTTTCTTTTCTTGCCAATGAAGCCAGAGAAAGATTGTCAGTTATTTGAAAAAGATTCCACTTATACCATTTCATGCAATAACTGTGTTTCCTACACTCCACACATCAGCGTTACAAAGTTTTGGAACACATTTGTTCCCTTGGGCAATGCTTGTTCATGACAGTTAAAAAAGGTAAAAAAGTCTTTGATCATTTGTTTAGTCTGACTAAAAATTTACTAACTGGTACATCATGATAAGTGGGCAACAGGTGTTTCCTCATTACAAAATGACTGTTGTATTTTATGTTTAACAGAAAAAAAGAAAAAAGAAAAAATAAAAAGGCAGAAGGACCTTCTGAGTGTTCACACTGAGAACTCTCTGGTTGGGCAACAGAGTGGAGCAATAAGAGTCCATAAGTACAGACAGACACAAACCCAACAGGAGACCATCTTAATCCAGAAGATGGACCAGGTTCCGGTGAAGAATTTTTCAATCTGAGCGCTTTCATAACTGTTAAGGAAAAAAAAAACACAACAGCAATAAACTCACTATTTGTACCTCAGACTGCAGTATCCCCTCTTTTTCCAAGTGGGTGACAGACTTCAACTAGGTTCACCCAGACATGAAGCAGGGGAGAGCAGCCCTTTATAGAGCAAGGTCTTTCTCAAGAATTGCCTGGGAAAGACTTGAAACATCTCTTCCAGCTTCTTACTTAAGAAGAGGAGACACACTAATGGCAGAAGTTCCTGTTCATATCTCCCCGTCTCCAGATAAGACATTAATTCCTCAGCTTTAAAGAAATACACTTACTGGAACCAATGAGTTACTGTCATCATCACATAGAGCGAAGCCAAGAAGAAAACAAAGTGGAAGAAGGCATAACTGTACACTGTGCCTCTCTTCTCATCGTAAATCACAGTCTGGCCTCCCCTTTTTTCAATGCGTTCTTCAGCATCAACTGTAAGAGACAGGAAACAAGAAGGCCGTTGCAAATTTAATGAGAACTGAAAACAGCAGCTGGCTTAACGAAGAACAGCGTAAAACATCTATGGTGTAATTTAGGAAAAGTGTGATGCAGAGCAATGCCTGAATATCCCTTGCCCTCAGGGCATGGGCCTAAAACCTTTAGTAAAAGAAATTGGACCACCACTGAAATCCTGCCTTGTATCAGCTTCCTGGACTATTGACTAGTTTTTGAGCATTTGGGCCATTCAAATTGCTCTACCTGTACAATATTCTTCTGAGAAGTCCAAGCTGATAACCTTGATTGTACCAGCTCTGCAAAAAGGACACTCCCTTCCTTACGCCTGCACTGCAGTCTCTGCAGACCTGCTGAGCCAAAAATCCAGCAGTCAGTCCCACCCACAAGCACACCAAGAGCAGAGATTACTCTTTGTATTTTGAAGTAATTGAGTGTCCTTTAAGGAATTATTAACTAGCCTGTTGTTTTAAAATGGTATTGTTATATCCCTTGTTTCCTTCCCTAGCCTAACTTTGATCACTTCAACAGCTTCAGTTTGATATGGTACAGAATGAGGCTACAAGCAGCTCTGCATCTGCAAACATGTGCTCACTCTCTTGGCTTTGGTGTGAAAGCCACAAGTGATGTAAACTGTGAAAACGTAATTACCGTCTCCGTCGGGCAGGCAGCAAAAGCAGCAACGAGCTACCTGTGGGACAGACAACAGGAAGGGTAAGAGTCTGTGCTACAGCGAAGAAGCAGAACAGTTGGTGAAGGAAGGTCTGTTTATGTCTATGTTACAGACACTAATTTAGAGAAGTCTGGTTTGTATTTCCAACCAGCATAAAACTCAAATTAGGATTTGCCAAGTTGTTCATAACAGCAGTTTCTCCTAAGCTTCGGAAAAACCTAGTCAGTAAGATTTGCAGCAAATTTACCAATCTTGAAGAATTACTCTATCCATTTTACATAACTCAAGGTCAAACACTGGTGCAAATAATTATGACAAAATCCTGTTCAGAGGGGCCTTACTTCTTCACACTTTTATCTAAGTGCTTTTTAAATAAAAAAAATTCTTTACTGAAATGAAAGTATCACTAACTTTTAAAACCCTGCTGCATGGACTGGAAATCACAACTGCACAAGTCAGAAATGTACTTATCTTTGCAAGAATTTGCTGAAATGGAGCCAGAATGAGTACAAGCAGAATAAGTAAAAGCAGAAAGCTGGTTTTACTGCTTTAGTTAAATGAAGGTATTCCTTTTTTTTAACTGATGGAAAAAGGAAAGCTGAAATTGACACTTCTTGTGTTGAGGTGTAATGTAAATCGGAAAATGGTGCTGAGCATCCAATAAACATATAAGTAAGTGCATTTTCTGCAAAAGACCAGGGTACAAGTCAGCACTTTCTGTAGTGCATCACCAACATTATTTGCTCTGATAAAATCCTGTTCTGAGATTTATTTTGCCTGTGGTCTGATGGAGATAACGAACCCCGTTAGGAAAATTCCCTTTCCTAACCAGTATATCAATCAGTATGAAAATTGTATTAATTCTGTTAACACATATTAGTTCACAGTATACAATACAGGGTAATAAAGTAATGGAGTTTTACTGGACTTTGGTATTTTTCATGCTTAAGTAAAACAAACTAAAGGACAGCCCTGCCCTGCAAATAAGGTCTTTGCTTCTTGGAAGTCTAGAGCTGTCCACAAATGATACAAGGTACACCTGGACAATCCAGACAATGACAGCATCCTGGCCCCTCTAACACATCTTTGAAACCCTCCCAGCAGCGTAGATAAGTAATTATCACAAGACTAACTCCAGGGACATTTGGATCAATAGAGAAGAAGCAAGAAAGCTGCAAAAAAAGTTAAGTTGCTTTGCAAAGTTTTACTACGACTACTAAACGCTGGTGTGGGTGTTAGTGATTAACCAAATCATGCTATACCTGAATGCTTGAAGGGTATAAGCACCCTGCGCAAAACCACATTCGGGGTCCCCCAATTTGGCAGGAACACCTCATGCGCAGGAATAAGTATTTACCCCTGTAATTCTGTACTTTGCATTCTAGCCTCTCCCCTTGGTCAGCACATACCAGTTGCAAGTTTTCTTAACACCCTCAAAAGTCAGACAGCATGCCTTTAAGGTAAAGTGTCCAACAGAAACATCAAATGGCAGCTTTTACCCTGCATATCCACAATTACATGTACTCCATGAGAAGCCAAGAAAGCTCTTTTTTTTTTTTCTGAGAGACAGGCTGTGAGTTTAAATAAAACCCTTATTCCCTATCTCTTTCTACTGCTGTTCCAGGCCTCACCGACAGAGCCAGCCTGAGCTCCCCTCGGGCCACACTCTCCTTCTGAAGCAGATGCTGCCTTCCCTCAAGCTTTTTTTAATCAGTTGCGATTAAGCCCTTGCACACACAGAGTGATGCAATTAGCAACGCTGGCGCACACACCACTAGCCCCTCGCAAGGCTCAGTTGTTTCCTGCACAGAGGCCGACAAACCCTCTGTGCACCACAAGCGGCTGCAGAGCTACGTTCCCCACTCCCGCCCAGGAGACAAAGGCCCTCTGCGGCCGGGAAGGCAATCAGAGTGCAATTAATTGCTCTTCAACAGCCATTTCTTTACATTCGGGTTCAGCGGGCTCTCGTACCGCTCTCTAAAACCAAACGGTCTGGAAATAATCCCCTTGGCAAGCACTGTGGCCCGGGAGCCGGACCCCTGCCCGCAGCCCTTCGGGAAGACCTCCTATGGCGTAATGCCGCAGGGTGGGCCCGATGGGCGGCTGCTTTCCCTCCGGTCCCTGTCCCGGCCTCCACCTCCTCAGCACAGGGCGGGGAGGCCCAAGTCTAGCCCCCATCACCAACTGTTACTGAGCAAAAAAAAAATACCCTCACTCATTTCCCAGTGTTTCTGGGTGTTCCCAGGATAAAGCGGCCAAGAAACAGGCAGGTGGAATGAAGAAACCCGCACTGCTGAAACGGGGACAATAAATACAATCCGAGATTAAATTGCAGGCAAGAAGAAAGGAAGTACTTGCATGGGGAAATAAAAATAAGGGATAGGAACTTGGGATTATAGTCGGTTGCTATGAGAACAAAGGCAATCAGGATTCAAAATGCTCAAGAATTCCTCGGCTTCTCTATCTGATAGCTTCCCGGCAGTCTCTTCCTCTAAATGAGAGGACCCGAGCCTGTGTGGAGCACAAGAAGATTTACAGGAAGTCTGCAAGACATTAAATAAACTGCAAGAGCAGCAAATTACTTCAGTACATAAAGGCACCTCCATGGGACCAGCAAGAGCTGCAGAAGTGCCAATATGGACAAGAGTCCTAGTGAGTCCATACCCAGAGGCACATAGCATGCATGCTACGAATAAGCTTTTGTTTTCCTCTAATTACAGATTACTTAGCCATGAAAACAACAGCAAGAAAAGCAGATGAGGAAGTCTGCACAGAAATCCTGTGGGAGGAAGCAGAACTCACTTCAGTTTCAGGTGTTGCATATATTCCCCTCAGAGCCTCTGAGCTTGCACGTGTTGTTGAGGTCAAACTAGGAGCAAGAGAAGACAGTGTCAAAACCCTCGGCTTAAGTATAAGCCCAACAGGGCAATTTTTCAACACCACAGCAAACGTAAATAGTCTACTCCCTTGTCTAAGCTAAGCATTTGCCTGGATATAGCACCAACACTAAGCATGTGAAAAGTTTGTCCTGCACGAGTACAAACCAGCCTGACAGACGGCCACTGGCCAACTCAGACTGAATCACCAGCTCAAAAGTAGGTCACTCCTCATAAGTGGTGAATTCATCACCATCAGACAGGGAGCAAACAGCTAAGTGCTCCAATTTGCAATTCAGAAGAGGATCTCCCCGGCTGTGCGGAACCAATGCTTTTATATTAACTTCACATTCACAACTTCGGCTCAGTATTTCTGTGAAGACTTTGCCAGCAAAGTAACAGCTCACTGGCAGCAGCCAGTTTTCAAAAGTAAATTACCAACCACGATTGTCAGTGTACCAGTGCTGGACATCACTTCATTGCATGATTGTAGTTGCGTGTGGGGTACCCTTTCTAGTTTCTTCTGCTTAGAAACATTTCTTCCCAGTCTTCCCCTTTCAGCATGTGTAATGCAAAGTTCCCACTACCCACGGGGAGAGGTGTGTTAATGCTTTGCTGTGTACATTGAGCCTTAGTAAGCAATACTTAATATTACCCTTGAAGGCCTTCTTATCTGCCCAGCTACCTGATGCACTTCCCCTGCAGGTTACGTGAAGGTTGCCTGCAGTCCAGAAACACCTTTCTGAGGCACTGGAAGTACTGTTCTAATGGGAAGTAGACCCATGACACGAGATACATATAATTGATGTAAGAATTAAATGGAACGCGTATGCATATTGGATAGCAGAAGAGCAGCTGTGGTACATCCTCAGAAAGTCTCTTGGTTTCACTTCAAAATTATGAAGGAGTTTCCACATGCGAATTTTGAAGTCAGAAACAGAATCTGCTCAAAAACACACAGCAGACAGGTAGTGCTGTCTCCTGGCAACCCGCACAGCCAGAACAAGCGATACATCACCTTTCAATCATCAACAACTCCCCCACTCCCTGTCCCGGAGCATGACTTAATTTACTGATGTGAGCTGCAATAATATAAGGTGAGCATCACAACTATATGGGCACAAACAGATTTTTTAGAGCAGGAAATTGCTGGCAAATCCTGATTGCGCTACTGTGCTCATCACTTGTTCAAAGGAAGCCTTAACCTCTCCCAAACAGTTTTGTTTGTTTTAAAGACCCTCAAGCCACAGCCTCTGCCAGGAGGCTACAGAAACTTCAGATAGCTTTTTTAGATGGACGTAACTTCATGGAGTTTTTCTTACAGGAAGAGTAAATACAGAATCAAAGCACCCTGAAACTGTTTGGGATCATGGACAGTTGGAAATTTTTTTCCCTCCACCTCTAGATGTAAATTGCTCTATTTGGTTTTAATGAAACACATTATTTTCATAAATTATATTATCTTGTTGAAAGTATTTGGCTAAAACATCTAACCATTCTGAAACTAAGGAGAATCTGAACCTCCCAGCTCAGTTCTATTCTACTTCTCCCTGTTACTTTGTCTGCACGAGGCCTGCTCTAAGCCTTCGCTAGTTGGACCACAGCTTTGCATTTACAGAGAGGTAATTGCAAACCCCCAGACTTACCAAGAATATAAAATGCAGCCAAACAAAATGGTAGTACCCAGGCCAGTAACCAGGTTTTCATCTCTGTGCAGGCCTTGGCTAAATTCAGGGACGCAGATTGTGATGTTCTGATTGTTTTCATCCAGGACTTCACAAAACAAAAGAAACAAAGAGAACAATTAGCAAAGCTCATTTCACTGCATCTTGAAGCAGTTTTCAGGCTGACAGTTTTCAGCAAAATATTTTTATTACTTCAGACACTGTGTAGGTACGTTTCAGTGGTTTCTATCTATCTTTTAAGATCAAAAGAAAGAAATTATGTAAATCTGACCTGGCAGATTCTGTGTTTTGGGCAAAACAAAAAAGCAACTTGGTAAGGTACTAAAATTTCTTGTTTGACGAGAGCAGACACAGACAAACATGGAAAAAGACTGTCTCATGAACTAAGAAATAATAAGTTGGAAGTTTACCAACACTTCACCCAAGACTACAGAGCTATATAACACTGAGATAGCACAGACCTGAGACCACAAACTTCTTAGACCGCAGGGGTGCCTTGGGGACAACTATGAAATGCATAGTGAGTGGAAAATGGTGGTGCGTAGCCTGCCTTGTTCTCAGACTGATGTACAGAAGACCAAAGAAAAGGAGATGCATCAGTTAAAGGCAGATTTTATCTCAACAGCTACGAAAATACTAATTTAGGTCTGTGAAATGAAACCAGTTTAGTTGTAGATGTTCCAAGATGCATCTAGCTTTTTGGTGCCTTCCTGGGGTCAAAGCAAAGCAGAGCAGTAGCCCACAGCATCACTTCGAAACAAGAGATTACAGCTGCACCTTATCTCAAATAAAAAGCTTTCTGAGACAATGCTGTTTAAGGCAAACTGTGTTCCCAACTCTTCCTTCCTTCCATCATCCACTCTGGGATGGCACAACTGTTTGCAAAGGCAGAGGGCAAAACACAGCAAAGGCTACTCGCAGGTTAAAAATAAACTCCAAGTCAGTCACCTGAGCTGGTGGGGGAGGACTTTGTGAAGCCCTCCAGGGCTGCACAAACAGCAGAGACTGCGCAAAGGTGGGAGCAAAACAAGGAGTAACAAGCCTTTATAGAATCATAGAAGCATTTAGATTGGAAAAGACCCTTAAGATTATATCAAGTCCAACTGTTAACCTAACAACTGCCAAGTCCCCCACTAAACCATGTCCCCAAGCCGCATCTACATGTCCGTTAAACACCTCCAGGGATGGTGACTCAACCACTTCCTTGGGCACCTTCCTGTTCCGATGCTTGACAACCCTTTTGATGAAGAAATCTTTCCTAACATCCAATCTAAACCTCCCCTGGCACAACTTGAGGTTGTTTCCTCTTTTCCTCTCACTGCTGATTTGCAGGATGGCCAATTTGGAAGTCCCTCCTTGAGGAATGAGTCAACATTAGGTAAGTTCATGGCAAATCAGAGTGTCAGTGCATGGGACACCTTAGTAAGTGCCAATACCCCATACATTCTCCAGCACATGTCACTGCAAAAGCTGCACAGGCCAGTATAAGAGTCCTTATCACACAGACAGGGGTGAAAGGAGCCTCTGTGACAGCAGATGACAACAAAGACAGTTCTCTGGCTTGGGAAGACAAGGAGAAATATCTGATTCAGGAGGTCTGAGAGAGTGTGTGTGATGCATACTCTGACAAATGCAATAACCACACTTGCAATACAAAGAAGAAGAATCAGAGTATTCACTTGACTGCTTCTGAAGGCTTTGACTGTAACAAGCATGAAATAGCACAAGACCAATGATTTAATACCATACATCACTTTCTTTCCCTTTTTTCTTCATTTTTTTTTACACTGTGCCAAGTCTTATGAGTAATTCAGATGCCTCTAAATTAACTTCTAGATTCATTCAAAACCACTGCTTAAGCTCTGTAAGTAAATCTTCCATCTAATTACTGTCTGATTTTCCATTTTAGCTCTAGAATACATTTGTTTATGTGTGTCTATGCATACACAAGTGTGACAGAGAGATTCTTTCCCCCCATCTCTTCCCTTTCTTCTTAGGAGGTATCTGTAAAAACTTCTTTCGGCCAACAGACTTACTTTCCTCTAATTATTGTTGTTTCAACTACTCAAGACTAAAAGTTGAACAATAATAGAGTTTTTTAGCATTACTAATTTGAACCAGAAAAGTATTCTGTAAGTGAAAAGAATGCTCCCTCTCCAAATAGGTGACTTCAATGGTTACACAGGAAAAGGGAACAGTTTGAGCTGTGCTTTTAAAGTCTTGCTGTGGTTTTGTAGTGTAAAGAACTTAAAAAGTACGGAGTTCCCGACTTGCAAAGCCAACGGTTAGAAGGCAAGTAGAGTACAGGAACTCCGCTGAAGAAGAGCATCATCTCAAACAACTGCAACATAACTAAGTCTTTAAGGTACACGGAGAGTGTCACAATTGCATGGTCTCTCTGCAGCACATTTATTTTAAGTTTTTTGCGATTTCTTCTGCATACACCAGAACAGAACAAACCCAGCACTCCTATATCCCTGAATTTGTTGATTCAGGTTTGCTAAATTCTTGCTTTTAATACATGGCTTGACTAAAAGAATGTACGTACAGCATTAGATAACTTACTAGTTTCTGGTGGCTTGCTGGATAGTGCTGAGAAAGTGAGGTACATAACATAGCAGCTGATAACTCCTGACTGTAGCAAACCAGAATGGGGCTGGCCTTTAAAAGAAAGAGGAAAATAAGTGATTTTTGCAGACGTTTCAACAAATTGAAAAATTCTTGTCCCTTAGGAAACAGAACACTGGTATCTTTCAGAAGAGAAAAGTATCTTTTACTTTTTCCTTAAAGCAGTTTGTAAGTCTTTGAGGCAGTTTAGATATATTTCCACTGGCATGTAAAGAGAAAAGAGTCTGTCCTTTAGTTCTGCCAGCTATTTTAGAAAGGCATTAAAGATTACCACGTAAGTAAAGAATCACCACTGTGCTCTTGCCAAAAGCACCAGCTTTCCAAAAGCTATTGACCAGCTGCCATGATAGTTTTATTTGCCTGTAAAATTTGTGTTAGAGTCACTCAGATTACTATTTCCAGGCCCAATGTATGCAAGATGCTAACAGCACACATAAAATAAACCGAAGGATGAAATACTACTGTCAACTCCTCCAGACCCAAACTTCACAGATGGTAAATCACAACCAGGCAAAAGTAAATGGTACAACACTGGTGAATGAGTTTGACAGCTATTACCTCAACTGCTAGCATTGCAAGAGTTGTGCGAGTTCCACAACACGTTACCAGCCATCAGCACGTGAGCCTTCTTTACACTACGACTGTCTGATGGGACATGCAAAATGTTTCACACCTGCAGTATTAGCAGCTGAGCTGATGACAGCACTTCATAGTCTAGATTAAGGGACAGGGGCAAGAGCTCTGAAGTATCATGAGACTTTCTGCCTGGAACATGGCCCAGCCTCCAGGTGCACAACTGTGGCAGCACCAGAAACCTAGGAGGAGAAGAGGTCAGTGGACTCACGATTCTGGACACAGGGCGATATGGCCACCAGCGACACAAAGAGGCACAGGCCACCGTTCACACCGATCAGGACCTTGTTGTACATGCAGCCCTCTGAGCGTGTGTAGAAAAGAGCCATGAGGACCAAGGCTGCCACAGCAATGGAGTACAAGATGAGAGTGACCAGGGCCAGCAAACCACTCCACATCTGCTTGTGGTTTGCACCTGCAGTCCTGGGGAGAGAGACAGACAAGCACGTTATCTTTGTATTCCCTTCCCCTAGTAAAATTCTAATAGCGCAATAGTTCCTATCTGCAAACACAGGAGACAGCGCTCACTTCCCTGAAGCATGTGTACGTCACTACACCAACACAGGCCCTTGCACGTTTCCTCCCATGAAACAGAGGGAAACATTCCTTAGCGCTAGTGTTTATCCTCAGTATTATCTTGCCCAGCTGTTTCTGCGGTTATAGCCCAGTGTGACTCCTACAGCTCCCAGTCTCTGGGATCAGCCCCATCAGCGCATCCCAGCTCAATGCTTCACGGATTTCCTCAGTGGGAACTGGAGAGTGCCCCGGCCTCAGCTGGTGAGTGGCTCTCCTCACTCAAGGACAGCAAAGGCACATTGTGCGGCGTGGCATCTCCTCTGCCCCATGTGCTACACTGACAGTTTTACTACCCTTTTGCTCAAAAAGCCTCCTCTCCATGTGGGTCTACCTCGTCAATCTCCCTCAGCTAAAGCATGGTCCATCTTGTTTTCCTCTCTTCACCTTCCAAACACCTCTTGTAAAGATCACTGGGTTTTTTAGGAGTAGCAACTAAAAAAGTTGTTTTGGCACAAAGGGCCTTTTGGTGTACGGAAGGCTTTTTCTGGTGGTGGTGTTTCACTCTGTGGAAATGTGGCTTATTTTAAAAGAATATCTAAGATAGAGAGTGCTAAAGTTAAATGCCACTGCTGGAAATCTTTCATCCATAGAAAAGCACCTACTGTAATTAGCAGTAACAATACCTGTGCTGTAAGGAGATCTCACCCCTACTCCCTGGAAACAGGTATCTAACAAAGCCCAAAGGTTTGTTAAGACTCTTTCTTAGTAGTCAGTATGCTAACTAGAACAAAAGAGGATTGCAAAGGTTGATAGAGGAAGAAATGAGAGACAGAGAGGGTGGAGGTAGGAGTTCCTGCATATACGTGGGAGGACAATTTAAATATTTTAAACTGATGAGAGGCTAAGGGCTAGGAAGGTAGGAGCAAACATGCTTAAACCAGAAATGAAGTCAATGCCAGAATGGGGTATATGTGGGTTCATAATGGAATCTTGCATATTTAGATGAAAGCAAAGAAGTTGAACAGAAAGTAGTTCTCATGTAGAGAAAAAAAAAAATTAAGCTGACACAAAAAAGCAGGATTTACCAGTTTACATCACTGCACTGAGTTTCACTGCTACATTTTGCAAATCCAGTTTTATTCTCTTGTACCACTCTGTTTCTTAGCAGGCATATTGTCATATAAAATATAACACAACTTCAAGTAAGAGACTTTTGATTCCCAACATGCTTGGAAGCCAAACAATTCGGGTTAAGAATAAATAAGCAGAGTAGAAATGAATAAGGAAGAAGCATCTCCACTGGGGAAGAAGAAAGTGGCTGAAGCAAAGATGAACAGCTCTAAAAATTGACATTAAAATATCTTCTTTCAGAAAGTACACCCATACTACTTTTAAATTCTTTGTTATGACAAAAGTATTGTTCAGGAGTCCACCAGAATTTTATGTAAATAAGCACTTGCCCAACACATACCAATTTTTATTCCATTTGTGTGCGAACTCAACAAGCAGGATGAGCTGAATGGCAATGAAAAGGAAACCTCCTGTTGCTCCCACGTAGCGCCAGGCTGCAAGGCAGAGGGGCAGAAAAAAGGTCAAACTGCAGTTGCCTTTCCCTTGAGATAAAATGGAATTATTGTCTATGCGGTGAAGCCATTACGCAGTTTGAATATCTCACAGATGCAGCAGGAGATGAGAGATTTCAGCTAAAAGCCCAGCCCAGCCAACTCAAGATTAGCTTCCTGATGAATTCAGTATGCAACTTGCTACACTTTCAAAGCAAGCCTGTTAGGACATTTACTGAGTTTCCCTAACCCAGAGAGTTTTTATGGAGCTTGAGTTACTATATTCATACAGAAAATACTGAAACCTTTATTTGTGAATGGCAGGAGGGAGGTGGTGTGAAGGCATTTCACAGGAATCTAAACCCCTGAAATTGCAAGGTACTGGAAACCTGTACTAAAAAGGGCAATTTCTTCCCTTCCAGATTCCAGTACCACAGAAAAACAAAGGTGGGGCTTATCCATTTACAAGTGCTGTCCCCAGCCACTCCCAAGGAGATGGGAACAGTTGGTATTCACTGACTAGGTTTAAGACAGGTTATTTGACTACTTAACCATTGACCTACATAGACTATATTTGTGTAGCTGTTTGGACACTTGGGACAACAGATCTCTTATGTGCAACACCCGAAGCCTCTGAGGAAATACAGATACCTATTAAAATGTTTAGTTGTGCGTGCAGCTTGTGCTGCTGTGCAGGGCATGGCCTATAAATTACTTTGGGTGTGCAGCTTTTTGGGTGTGCAGATTTCAGTGAAGAAGACCAAAGAACTGCATTAGCGAAGTTCAGCCGTATCCTACCATTGCGTTTTCCTTTAAAAAAAAAAAAATTGTATAAATGAAGTGGAGGAACAGACCAGTCAGGACACATTATCCTTAGCAGATGATGTAGAGATCTTTTTTTTTTTCCTACTGTGCCATGAGCTCATTATTTGAAAGTAAGCAAAAATGCCATTTGTCTGGTTTTACTAAACATATTGCATGCACTGGATAAGCATGCTGTTTTTCAACAAACAAAACAAAAAAACCAGAAAAAGTTACCATGTAAAAAAAAGTATAAAAAACAGGCTGGGAACAAGGTTTCCATGTGTGTTTGGGAGAGGCACAGTAGGAAACAGCTCGCTAGTGGAGTGAGCAATGAAATAGCCAGACTCTCAGGATCTACCACTGCCACAGGTGGGACACTGTGGGCTGTTTTATGGATCCATCATAGATAAAGGTTAGCCTGGTCAGTGTGGATTTAACACTACAGCCCACACAAACCTAGAGCTTGCATGTAATACTCCTCCTCCATGATTAACAAACTGCTAAGCATGGGAAACATGGAAAGAGCTTTTTTTCTAATTTTTAGAAAAACTAAGAAAGTTGGGACAATGATCAAAAAGCAAAAAAAAAAAGTAGACAGTGCAAGTTTCTTGATTGAAGGAAAAAATAGAATGGGGAAAAGAAATCACACAATACACAAATTATCTGTAAGTCTCAAATTTAGGGTCTGACTGGAGGACAATTTAGCGGGATGTGCAGAATACAGTTTTAGACAGAAAACTGAAGAGCTAATTCTGGGAAGAACGCTTGTTAGGCTGTATCTCCACACTAGATTAGACTGCTGTTGAAAAACAGCATTCTGATCAGCACAAAAAGTTCTGTTTCCCCTTTTCCCCAAACACTTCATTTCTTGATGGCTTTTCACCATGAAAAGGGTCGCTTGCGAAGATAATAGGCAGTCTCGCTTGCTGGTGAGTACAATGCATTGCACTGCTACGTCTTTCTAATCCAAGCAGCAATTAGATACTAAGGACAAGCACATACAGCCATCTGGTGACTTTACAGAGGGATAAGGAGCCCTTCACTTCTGGGGCATCAGGCTGAACCAGGACCAATCAATCAGCTGGTAAGACCAAGAAGCTGAATTACGCATATCAGTGGTTTACCTGACATGGTTTTTACCTTAGTTTCCCTCAGCACTGGGCTCATAGTATGTCTGCCCAATCTCTCCTCTTTTCCCATGTTACTCCTTCCTCTTCCACTTTTAAACACCCTGGCTAGAGGGGATTGGAGTTGAAAACACAGGCATCTAGGCAAGATTTAGTGGACACAGGCGGCAGTCACAACTTCTCCTTTGCATTACTGGTTCCATCCCTTTCCACCCACCCAGACTCAACAGCTTTAGGGCTTACAAGTAGCTGGCAAACTGAAGAGCACAAACTCTTCTCGGTATTACTGGCCCACAAGAGGCCTGTGAGAAGTCCCTCCCCAGTGCTGGCATTTAAGCACCAGGCCAGTACCAGCATTCCAGTGCAGTGCCACGGTGTCTTCCAAAACGGGGAATGCTTCAGGCACGGCAGAGTGCTCAGCAGAGCACTCGCAACATGCCCCAAGAAGTCTAATTTTACCTTAGTGCATTTACTCCACCAGCCTGAAAGCTAACAACATCCCAAATTCTTTTGTGTCTCTGCAGGTTTCCAGGCAGCCACCAGCAGTGCCCAGCAGGTCAATGTGCCCCGCTGAGCGCCGACACCTCTCCACCACGCTGCAGGGTCCCCGGCTGCTGTGCTACGGCAGGGCCACTAGCACAACCCAAAATAACAGGAGGCTCTGAGCTCTTGAGTGAACACTTTCTTGTGCACCATTACAGCTCTTAAAAAATTTGCAAGACAGCACCGCAGTGGTATTTTTAGCTACCCAGCTGGTCCACTTTTGGTCAGAAAAAAACCCATGCTCTTTACTGCACATTCACATGGAGACCACACGCTCTGTGCACACAGAGTTCTCCCCCAACAACTCTGAATATTCCTTTTGCACCTGGACTATACTGGCTCTACTTCAAGAAATACGGCGATATTCACGTTGATCAGACCTTTAGGATCTGTAACCACACACAAAGTAGCAAGGGAGAAAGCACCATAACAAAACAAGAAGGACGTACCATTGAGGAAAGTGTCCTGATCAGGAATGAAGAAGGCTCCTGAGCACATTGCTGCCAGAAGTATGAGTTTAATGAGCCAGAATCTGGACAAAAGGAGGAGACAAAAAAAAAAATCACCTGGTTGTAATAGGAATTAGAGGTCTTCAACTTAAGTACCATGAGAAATCTCTATTTCAAGCCCAACAAGAGAAAAAAGAGCCTATGATGACTGATGGCCACTTCAGTTAGTTTTCGCTTGATTGCATTATTTTTGACAAAAGCAGTAAAATCAACTTTTGTTTTCTTTTGTGGGTTTTTTTTGGCTAGTACTACACCCAACTGGAAAGCAGGCAACACAAACCTGTAAAGAGAAGTGGGAATCAAGCAAATACTCACCCATTATGAATGTATGCTCGGCAGCTTTTGCTGCTGTTAATTTTGATGGTGAACAAGAAGAAAAAAAAGAAGAAACAGGCCATTCCAAAACAGACTTTGTACACCGCAGAGTATCCCACCAACTTCTCGCACATCTCGCCTGCCTGAATGCCCTTGCACAGCTCTTTGTAGAAGGGAATCTGAAAAGCATAACACGTTACAAACTATCAGATAGGATGCAGGGCTCCTCGTAACCAAGTATGTCTATGTCTACGTCCCACCAACTTTTCACTGGCTCCATTTAACACCTTTCACTTTTGATAGCCCTCAGCTTGGATTTAAGGGTTCAAGGTACGCAAAGAAATCTCAACCACAATGGACTGGAGTTTTCCAGAGCCTCCACCCTCAACTCCTTCCAGATGCTTTGGGGTACAAGTCCACCTACCTTTACTTCATCTCTCTTAGCTTAAGCCATCCCTGCCCCTTACTGCTTATCCCCTCACCCCGGGACCCATGCTTTACAGCAAAGACTTTAATTGCTTCAGGTATGGCTCCAGTTTACGTGAGCCATACCAGTGTTTTTACCAGCCGAAGGGGCATGAACGGGGCTGCAGGGCATGAAACTCTGGCTCGTGCTGCCCTTGGTGGAAACGTAGACCGAAGCACATCCAAGAAGCACAGGGGCAGCAAGCCCCCTCCCCTCCATCATGCTCTCTGACAGGAAGTTGTGCCAGTTGCCCTGATTTTGTTTTATATTAACAGAGAGGCAGGAAAATTCCACCTCTCTCTTGACTCATTAAATATTTGCCTTTGAGGCCTTGCTCTCGCCACAAGGGAAAAGCAAACAGCTGCAGATTTTGGCTTCAGTTTCACCAGACAGACATGATGCTGGACGCTCAAAAAAGCAGGTCTATGTGGCCAGGACCCACTCCTGTGGGGTGCCTCTGTGCAGACACTCCCCCCTCGCTGCTGGAGAGCCATTCAGCTGCCCAGAAATACAGGCGTTTAATTAGAAAACCAGCGTTCTTCTGAAAGAAAGAAGGGCCTCTCTGTACGCTCAATAGCCCTCAGCTGAGGCTGGTGAGACCAGTCGAGCAACACGTCAAACCCTCTGGAGCTGATCACTGCTACCTGCACAGGTAACTGGAGAAGGCAGAAGACAATGTGTGCCAGGACACAACATGCACGAATAAATAACTTGGTCGAAGGAAATGTGAATTGGGATTCAGAAAGCACTCAGCCAGGCCAGATTCTGCTTAGGAAAAATACACAAAGATTGTGGGCAACACCATCCCTGAACATTTCCAAGAAATTGGCAAAGGTAGGAGTCTCTTCTTCCTTCAGCATGCAGGTCAGTACATGAAACCAGGACAGTGAGAGAACAAACAGGACCCGAGAGCAAGCGATCAGGCAGCGTTCCCAGCTGGGTAGAAAGCCATCTGAGATGCAGGAAAAAAAGGGATAAACACATAAACTGCTGGCTTCCAGCCACCAGGCTCTGAAAGCCTGCTTCCCCCAGCAGGACATGCAACTTCCCTTCCCCTGCCAGCAACTCAAGCCAGTCAGGAGCTCAACAACCCTCCTGGCAATTTCCCTAAAAGAGCAAATATTTTAGCAGCTCACAGCAACACCGAGTAGCTGTGCTAAGGGCATCAAATCTAACTATGGTAGCGAGCTGATCCTAGGTGAGCTAGAACCAGCCCAGGAGATGAAATGCAGGTCTCGATGCAGCTATATGGTGTTACAAGAACAGATTGAAGCTGGGCCACTCTGAGATGCTCTCTCAGAAGTAACTCAGAGATGAGTACTCACTGTGTGAAAAGTTGGACAGAGAGCAAGAAGCTGTGACTAACTTGCATCCAAGAGCTTTTAGAGAGCTTCTGAGAAACTGTTCAGGGTATCAGCCATGCCCTTCACAGCTCTTGAAGGGCAATGAAACATCAGATCGCACAAACGTGCCAACATTCAAAACGAGCAAATGGATTGACTGGAATAATCGAGACCTATCAATGCCACACTGATGCCAGGGCAAGCCAAGGGGCCACAGCAATGCCAGGCAAAGCAACTGGGCTATCAATTAATGCTTTCCAGTTCTTTGCCTAAAATAACCACCAGACAGCAGTGATTAAAAAAATGCATAACATTGAATTAACAATATTTCTGAGAAAATCAGATACTTGTTTAATATAGATTATAGTACTGACCAAGGAGACAGATTTCTGTAATATCTGTACTTGGTACCAAGCAGCATTTTGCTTATGAGAGTTAGAGAACAAAACAAAAAAATACCATGGAACTTGATGAATCAACTAGCTAATTAAAAACAGATCTCTGGGTAACTGTAAATGGGCATCTTCTTTAATCGCATAGGTTTCTACAGAGATCTGGATGGGATTTTTGACCCTGTATGTTCTTTTCTCCATTTAGCAGTAATTTCCTTACGGATCTGGCTGAGAGAAAATGGATGGATTCACAAGAACAATAGCTCACTTTGTGCCTACATAAGCAACAAAGGGCTCAGCCATCATGTAGTACGCACAACACTATGCAGTAATAAGCGATGTCCACAGGAACAGCCCTGTGGGATTGAATGCCCTTTTTGGAGACCCATGATCCTGAAGGAACAATACAAGAATAAACCCAAACTCTTGGGGACCCCAGTAGATAATAAACATAAGCACAATGCTGGGGACAAAATGGCTGATGTAATGAAAAGGGCATGTTTTTGTGAGAGGATGGTCTGCTGCTGGGAACAATTTATCAAGGCTTATGTGACTTCTTCACTGAAAGTTAAAAATGACTAATTTTTTAGGGTTTAAAATTCTGTATCTCTGAAACGTATCCAGCTGCTGAGCAACCTGCCCAGCCTATGTGATTTACCAGATTTTCCATTTGCTGGGTAGTTTTGCCAGCTGTGAAAAGTCACGGATTAGTTATTTGCCAAGTTTGATATTGCGGAATATCTACTTCTAACCTTTAGAAGCAACATAAGCTGAATTCTTTGGCCTCTGCATAGGGGAACAAAACATTATTGCAGCAGAAACTCAGTATCCACTCAGATAATGTAAACGCTTCGGTGGCTGCACACGCGATGCCCTTATCGCAGCAAAGTCAGTAGCTTTCCAAGTGCAGTGAAACCCTTTGAGACAACAGCAACATCTACAGAAACAGGGACAGGCTGCCTTGAACGTGCTTTCCGCCCACCGAGAACTGCAGGTACCTGAAATAAATGCAGTGCAAGAAGAGAGCCCACACAGCCACACCGTGTCCAGGCTCCAGCCATCTGGGGCTTGGCCACCTCTGAGGCTGGGTCTGTCTGCACCCAAACGTGTGAATGCAGGAGCCCAGGAAATAGCACCAGCAGGGGAACAGAAAGAAAGAAATGTGTAGAAATGGGCCTGAGGAGCACGAAGGAGACTGCTTTTGTCTGGATGTCCTCATCCAACAGAGGGAGAACGTGGCAGATGAACTTTGCTACAGAAACAGAGGAAGCATGAAAGAAAATCTGTGTAGATGGGGAGACAAGGGCAAACAACCCAGGTAAAACTGCCTGTTTTCAGCCGCTGAGAAACAGAATAGAAAAACAAAAAACCAATCAGATCAAAACCCAATCCATCTTTCAACTATGGCTACATTCTTATCAGAAATAGACAAGGGCATCTGCCCTTAAAAAACTCTTTTTTGGTAGCAAATTTGGGTTTTAACATCATATAATTCAGTTCAGGGACAAGATATAAACCTGGCAGGGGAAACAAGCCTGAAAGCGTGCTCTGCCAGAACATGTAATCACATAGAACTGAAATGCTTTGACACAACTGAACTGGTTTTTACTGGTGTTTGTTTTCCTGAAAACATCTTTTTAATTTTTCCTTTCATTATTTAAGTAGGACATGGATATTTTCAGGATGAAACCACTAGTTTTGAAACAGCTCTAACATTAAAAATTTAATTTAAAAAATAATCAAAACATTATTTCAACAGACCAAAAAATTATTTCCCTTTTCTTCTCTCAATTATCCTTTGAAAGCCTGTGAAATATAAAGTTTTGCTTCAACAGAACATTTGTGAGTACAGCTGTACCTAGTTTTCAAAAAAAACAGAATAACTGAGAGAAAAAAAAAATGGATCAAGGCATAGAAGCACTTCTTCAAGTTGGGTCCCGCTTTGTTTCAATTTTGGAACAGAGTCAAGTCTCTAAAGCATTTTGTGTAACTGCATATTGGTCTTTTCTGTCTTTCTGTCCCCATCACTGAGGCTCTCATGTCTTGATGCACACTCTACTCCATCTTTTGCCTTGATACACAACCTTGCTGCTCTGAAATCTATTCTACATCCTACTATTCAAAATATTTTCCTGGTCAAAGCCATCCACTCTTTCCCTATGATCCCGCCACTGACTCTTGCTTCTTCCCCAGAGATCAAACGTAAATGCCTTGGTTTCTTTGCACATTTTTCAGAATTTAGCCCTTAGGGGGTCTCTCTCTTGGTGTCCCGTGGGCAGAGGAACAGCTCTGGAGATGGGGAAGAAGAGTGAAAACAACAGCGAACCTCCCTCCCTGCCCCTGCAAAAGGCCCTGTTCAATTCCGAAGGCTCAGCAAAAACCACAATGTCCTCAAAACGCTGCTGGTCAGATTAGGAACCAAGGTTTTGAAACCAAATACTCCACAGGTACTGTGTCCTCCCACTAAGACATGTTTTCATCTACCTCCTAGCTTTGGGGAGGATGTGGAAGTTCAGCTCCCTGGGACAGTGCCTCACTTTTCCAGCCATGTTGCAGGGCACAGAGCAGGTTCTCAGCTCTGGGCTGGCATCTGCAGAGTCCGGTACCTCAGGAACTCAAAAACTGTCTTAAACATGTTTTAAGAGACAGAATGCACAACCATGGGGGTAGATAAATACTGCAAAACAAATCCAAACGTTTTTTAAAAGTTTCTGTTTAAGGTGTTCACAGGAGATGTACATTTGCTGTTGCTTCCTCTCAAAATTACAATAAATACTTTTAGAATTACTTTAGACTGGGGAAATTATAGCCAATCAACAAAACCCCTCTCACTGACAAGGGGTAGATTCCTTTCACAGAACATCAGCATAAGTATTTGATCTCTAAACGGGTAAAGCAGACACACGGTTCCCTGCCAAGATTACCTCTCCACAAAGGACTGCACTAAAATATTAAATTTTAATTTTTTATTTTAATACAAAATTTAAAAAATTCTAATTAAAATTAATTAAAGTTCTCTCTCCTCTCAAGAGAGGGTGGGTCCTAGAAGCATTATGCAAAGTGTCTGCTTACAGGAGTGTCTGGCTGCAGGAGCTAGGAACGCTCCACGATCCAGCCAAAAGCAAAGGAATCAGTAGGTGCCCAGCACTTTCAAAACACAGTTCATCATTGAGAAGCTGAGATTGGTAAGTCTGAATAAATATTTTGAAGGTGCGCTCTATTACAACTGGGCTGAATTAGCTTCAGGAGTCTTTGAACTTTTAACAGCCCCGAACATAATTATTAAATTAGAGAGCAGACAAAGAAAGCCTACTTTCAGATGGTCCATTTCCCATTCAAAGACATCAAATGCTCTAAATTAAGAGAGTGATTATCTTTCCACTTCGCACTAACAACTACTCTTTGTGCCATTTCTTCCCACACTGAGCTTTCAAGACTATGAACTGGAAAAGAAATTTGGCAATACTGAAAAGCATGTTGTTGAAGGCTTCTTGAATCATTTGCCTGTTGGATAAAGAGCGAGTATTTTTTGTTAGGGATACAAGCTGCATTAAAACCACATTACTGATGGAAAATGACTTTATGAAATTTGGATATGAGCTCGTAATTTGTCTCCCACACTTGAGTTCCTTGGGTTATTCACTTTATTGCCAAGCTAAGCATCTAGTGAGTCAAAGTAATTACTGGCAAGCAATTTCAGCATGCGCATGGTGAAAAAGACCGTTCACCATGTCTGTAAGGCAAGCACCATGTCTGTACTGGGTGCTCTTACAGGGCTGCCACCAACTTCTGGGTGCTGGGGGTAAGAAGGTGGATAACTCAAGCAAAGCACTACGTAAATGAAAGAAAATTAGGACGGAACACACAAAGAGGGTGCAATGGGAAAAAAGAAAGGTGACTGGCAGCAGAGTGAGGAAATCCTCAAACTAGCCCTGCTGTAAGCCCTTTGGTTCATCTGTGTTGCAGGCACAGGGGTGGTACCACCAGCTTCTGGATCCAGGCGGCTGGGGAGGGAAGTGCTTCACCGACAACTGGAAGTCAAGCACAGAAGGTAAGCAGCTTGACCAGTAACTGGTTAAGTGAGGACACAGCCCTAACTGTGCACCCAGCGGTGCTCCTTCTTGGGAGGGCAACACAAAACAGCCAGGTGCCCGCAGGCAATGAGGGAAGACACCTGAACCTCCAGGGCAAGCGCATTCACAAACTGAAAGCAGGCCTGACACCAAGTTTGGTGCAGAAACTTAATATTGAAGAATTGAGCAATCCAGCCATTGTTCCCTCTACTTGGAAACAGATTTCTCATCTTGTAGTTTGTAGAGGCTGAGAGAGAGGATTTGTGGTACTGAGAGCAACTTGGGTGGCTTAAGAAATCAAACCAAAGATGTGGTGCAACAGGTCTAGTGTGTAACTGCAAGCAGGTTGGTGAGCATTTAGCTTAGGAAAATTATATTAAGACTCTGAAAGAATGTCCAGTTTCAAAATCTAGTTTTAGCCACAGCTCCTTTCATGCTTTTGAAGCTTTTTAATTAAAAAGACAATTAGAGATGAACAATATCACAGGCCATGTGAACAGGATGACTCAACACAGACTGAAGAAAACTCCCTGTAAATGATCTGCAGCACTGTGCGTTGCAGTAGTTTGTCACACAACACCAAGAACACAGAATTAAAATTAAAAATGCAACACTTGAAGAGTTATTTTCTAATTTGCCGCTTCTGCTACTACAAAAAGTTGCCAGAGATGAACTCAGCATTAGACTGAACTGATTTGTTCTACTACATCATGTTCCCTAACAGCCTCTAGTGACACTGCCCACACAGCGGACCTGGGACGGGCTGGCTGCAGCGCGTTTCCACACAACGAAAGAGGAGGAAGGCTGCCAGTCCTGTGATCCTGGACCCTTCCTGTTGTGAAACACACTCGACGGGTGAGCAACCGACAGGAAGAGGCCGGGCACGGAAAATCATCCCATCTGGGTTTGGAAGAGGACGGGTGGAGGGAAGTGAGCGCTGCCATACGTGAAGAGTGGTGGAAGGAGCCCCCTTTCCTTCCAGGGTCAGGGGGGGGTTGGGCTGTCTTACTTACGCGCGTTTTCATTTCGTTGGCTACTGTTGTTGACATCATGATGCAACAGATGACGGTCACCAGGATGAAGTAAAGCGCATACATGAAGCGGGTGCTGGTTGACTGCTTTATCTTGGGGCAGCATTTGCAGCACAAGGAACAAGCGGCAGTACCACAGCAGCAGGCCAACTGGAAAGTAAGGCAAAAAACACAAGTCATTCTACCACCGCCTCTAGGTTTCTGTTGCAAAAGTCAGACACGGAAGTTGGGAGACTTCCTGTAAAACTCCAGAATTTCTTAAGTCCTCTCGTCCCAGCTGAGCAGCATTTAAGTGGAAGCAGACTGTCTTGTTTATCAAAAGTCATTAGTTTCTCACATCAGTTTCTCACTTTCCCACACGCTAAGGATAAGAGTGAAGAGGATGAGGAGGAACCCTTCCCAAACCCTTAATCCTGCTCTTTACTACCTCTGTGCAGCTCGTGGTCCTGACATGTTTCACCCAGCAGAATTGGAATTACAGTGGCAAGGCTCTACTTCCTGCAATGCATTCTCCCCTCTCCATGGTAAAAAAAAAAATCTGCACAGGAAGGGCACAGACCCCAAAACTGCTTGCTTTTAACACACAGACAAAACTAATTTGTTTCTAAGACAAGCTGGAGGTTTTGTTTTAAAACAAGCTGTGCTGATCCATTTCAATTCACCAGAACCACACTGTCCTTTTTAATGTACCCTTTCTGGTACCCACACAGACAAAAATTTATTATTATTATTATTATTATTATTATTATTATTATTATTATTTGCTACAGAACTTTTTATACTACTAAAGACTTCGAGCAAATTAAAGTGGGGAGGGAAAACTGTTTAAGCCATACTTCAGCATGGTTGTGTTGAAGGCTATATAAACAGACAACAACTACAAAAAAAAAACCAAACAAACTCAAAACAACAAACAAAAAACTACAATAACAGTTCTAAATATTGTGGGCAGTAGGGTAAGGATCTGGGAATACTGTAAACAAAGCAAAAGACAGCTGAACTTGAAGGACCCAAAATACACCAGCACCATCTTGTACTGAAGAAAGAGAAGAAATGTAACTTCACAGTTATGTAGACACACTTTGCAAACGTGAAAGCTGGGATTCCCCATGCAAGATGGGCAAGGAAAAAAATTCACAGCTGCAAGGCAAATAATACCAAATCATACTTCAGCAGGTACTGTCTCCAATTTTTAAACATTATTAAAGACAAAATTCCTTATGTACTTTAGTTCTTTTCTACTTCTTGGTGAAACTGAGAATCCACCAAGATGAAAACCAAGAAGCACAGCAAAAAGCACATAATTGCTCTATTCAACAGGGGAAAAGGTACTGAATAAATACTGAAAAGGATCCAGCTGGATGCTCATTATTTCCATGCTGTCAACAGAATTGTTAACTTTCAAAGAAGCTGCATTCACCTTCCCTGCCTTCTGCTTTTAGAAAAGCCATATGTAAAAATATAAATATAAGCCTTACTTTTATACAAAAGGCCGCCCTATCCTTGGCCAGGCCCTTCCTTGCAATAGGCAGCAGTTTCCTATGGCCCCCACGCTTCCCAGCAGGCAGCCAGGAGCAGGGATCTTCTCTTCCAGGTCTCATTGCTGCAGATCTGGGGCAACGTCCCCCCTCTGTACTCCCACGTTCGAGGGGCTCCCTGTGGCTAGTGTGAGTGCAGGGGCGGTGTGCTGGCAGTAACAGGGGCTCAAGCACACCAAGAATGCTTTTTCCTGGTGTTTCCTCAGCCCTTGGAGGGGCTGTGGGGATCTTCAGAGGACCCTCCTTGCTTTCTAACAAGCAGTTACACAAGATGGATGGATTCTCTTAGCCCTTGCCAAGAGATTCAGAGTGCACAAGTGGCACATTTGAGCCATCCAGGCAAACTCCACTCCCTTGTATGTGCCTTCGGGCACCAAACCATCATGTGCCATTTTCCTCCCAGGTCGCTGCTTCTTCTAGCATCAATGACTGACCGACCTGCAGAAGAGGGTTTCACATATGTGTTTGCAGACACACACATCTGATAGAACTTCACGGAGTCTCACAACTAGACTGGTTGATCAAAGACCCCAAATCCTTTTGAAGAAGTGTCTTGAAAAGACTCACAGCTTATCATTTCCTTGCCATGACTATCTGCTGCGCTGCCCAAGCACAGGCTTCCTGCCTTCAGGCCCCGCAGACAGGGGTGTGAAAGTCACCTCGCCCCGCTCCACGACAGCTCTTCAGTTTGCAGAAGGCACAAAAAGGGGGACACGCCAGCACTGCTCCTACTCTGCCCTTCACTCAGTTCACCATGGGATCTCACGCCAGAGGAGAGGAGGGCCACAAAGCACGCAGCTGCTAAAACTGCTGCTGCTGCAGAACAGAAATCCTCCCCAAAACACACAAAGCTCCCACTGTGGGCAATAAACAGAATGGGCTCATGTTGGCACCAAAGCTGGAAATTAAAAATACTATGTGTATACATATATCATACAAGTATACTTTCAAAATAGAAGGCAGTGGTGAATGAACGGCAATTTTATTTTTTATATGTAGCGAAATCAAGCTAACTTTTACAGCTTCAACCACAAGTCCAAGAAATAGGGAAGCCATGGCAAGATACCGACTCAGCAAACAAATGGAATTATAACATTTCAAAACAAAAACATACCAGAAAAGCATAATCCCTGCCCTTCAGAATTATAGAAAAAAAAATTTAAAAAAGTAGGACTAACGGTTCTTTCAATCTGTATCAGCCCGATCCAAGGTATCCATGATGAACTTCAACTGCTGGCCATACTCACCATAACATTAAAATCTATAGCACAGCAGTAAAAAAGTATGCAGCTTTGGCATTTTTAAGGGGAACAACATTTTCCTAAGCCAGGTGCTAGAGACCTCTGCCAGTGAAACCTCATCTGCGTCCAGCAACGTGTCTGCTATTCCAGTCCTGGGTCCCTGGAGCTGCTATTTAAAGCAACAAATACTTAAATAGAATGTACAGCTCATTTATGATAGTTTCTAATACTGAGCACGTACCATATAAATTGGCAATATTTGTGAAAAATACCAGTGTTACCATCTTTTTCAGAGGCACTCCTTTAAGCACTCTGAATAGTTGTGGAAACCATAGAAAGTTGGTCAGGTTATTCAGCCACAGACCCAAATTTGATGGTTGGTTGGGTTTTTTTTTAAACTCTGGTTATGACTAACTACACTCGAGGGTGGGCAGCAATCAAATAGGTGTTACCCAAAAATAAATGAACACAGTCTCTGTCCCAAGGAGTAAGATGCTGGCCCACAACCTTCTGACCAGAGAGGTTTCAAAGGGTGTTATCTTTGGGTGACAGACTTCAAAGCCCATCTCTACAATGAGTTCTCTGTCAAAAGGCTGTGGCTGATGTGCAGCTAAACTACATGGTCCCCCTGATGCCACATGCTTTACCGTGGCTGTGGCCCATCCCACCTCGTCTCTGCCTTTGGACCGTGGTGAGGGTCTGCCCAGGGGCTCGGGACCCACCGGTGCTGGAGAAAAAGCTGGTAACAAGTTCTTCCCACATTAAAAAACACAAACGGGCTGTGAAACACAGCAAGTAAGGTCATAAATCTTTAACAGATTTAGGTTATCATTAAACAAAAGCTCCTCCAAAGGAGGGGTTGTGCTGAAGGAAGGCGCTGTGTGGTTTTGAGGACAGAGACAACCCAGACAGCCCAAAGTCTATTATGGCTTCTGGCAGGCAGGCCTTGAAAACCCTGGTCTGGACCTGCAGAGCTCCGTCCAGGTCTCCTGTGATCCTTTCTAGTCCTGGGTCCCCAAGAACCCAGTGCATCGGCACCTGCAAGACAGACTGCTCTGGCAGGACCCTGCAGTGCTGCAGCAGCTTCTGGCTTCCAGTCTTTCTCACCCAAGGGCTCCTACAAGTCAGGCAGCAGGTACAGCACCCCTGTATGAACACCCCAGGCTGACAACAATTACCAGCACTACGTAAATACTCATGCTCTTCACAGATACCTGCGATCAGCCTGACACTAACCCACCGCCACGCCAGGTCTCCACAACATCGGAGCCTCTTTGGGAGCCCCAGGAGGGTGCAGTGCCAGCCTGCCTGTACCCCAAAACCTGACAGCCTACTGCCGCTGAGAACAGGCTGCGCCGTGATTTGGCCTGCCTGGACAATGGCTGGCTTGACGGGGCTTCACAGCAGCAGCTGTGGAAAGCTGTTTGGGAAATCCTTCTGTTAAATATATTCAAAGTGCAGTTTCACAGACAGCTCTTCTGGTAGCCAGGCTGGCTTAACAGCCTTTCTCCTCAGCAGGTCACTCACTCACTCCCTGCTACCCTGGCACCAACCCTCAGTAGCCCTGACAGCTGTTTCTGCTGCTAGGAGTGACCAAACAAAGCGAGAAGAAAACTTGCAAAGTCTTCAAATGGGCAAAGAAAAAAAAAAAATATTTTTTAAAATTTATTTATTATGATATGGCCAGAACAATCCTCGGTATCAATACGGACTAGGGGGTGAGGTATTAGAAAGCATCCCTGAGGAAAGGGACTTGGGGGTGCTGGTGGATGAGAAGCTGGACATGAGCAGGCAGTGTGCACTTGCAGCCCGGAAGGCCAATCCCATCCTGGGCTGCATCAAAAGAAGTGTTGCCAGCAGGTCCAGAGAGGTGATACTTCCGCTTTACTCTGCTCTGGTGAGACCTCACCTGGAGTATTGTGTGCAGGTCTGGAGCCCTCATATAGGAAGGACATGGACCTGGTGGAGCGGGTCCAGAGGAGGGCCACTAAAATGATCGGGGCGTTGGAGCATCTCTGCTATGAGGACAGGCTGAGGGAGCTGGGGTTGTTCAGCCTGGAGAAGAGAAGGCTCTGGGGAGACCTAATAGCAGCCTTCCAGTACCTGAGGGGGGCTTGGGGCTACAGGAGAGATGGGAAGGGTCTGTTTACAAATGCCTGCAGTGACAGGATGAGGGGCAATGGCTTTAAGCTGGAGGGGAGCAGATTTAGATTGGATATTAGGAGAAAGTTCTTTACTGTGAGGGTGGTGGAGCACTGGAACAGGCTGCCCAGGGAGGTGGTTGAGGCCCCATCCGTGGAGATATTCAAGGTGAGGCTCGATGAGGCCCTGGGCAACCTGGTCTAGTTGGGGGTGTCCCTGCTGACTGTGGGGGGGTCGGACTAGATGACCTTGAAGGTCC